AGGGTGCACCACGTGGAGGTAAGTCTATCACATACCCCCATTTATTAGGAATAAAGGAGTGAAAATTGATAACGTCTTTTCTGGACAGTTCCGCCAAAAATGTTACTAACACAATTTTGACCTTTTATCCATAGCTCTTTGAGCACTTGGTTTAGTGGAAATTCCACTCCGTTAGCAATTTCGTTAGCACTTTTTTCCCACTCTGATATTAACTAGTTTGAGGAATTTACTTCCGTAACTGGATATTTGCTCAAGATTTGATGAGTGCTTTGCTGGTTTGCGGTTATTCCAACTTAATTTCTTTTGCTAAAATCTTAGCCGAATACTTCTGTGTACCAAATCATGATTTGTTATGATCATATTTGATCCTATGACTCACAATTGGAATGTACCTCCAACTGCGCCTTGCTCTGTTGTTACTGGTCAAAGTAACAAAAATGGTTTTGGCAACAATTTGTGTTATACTGCATCAGTTAATTGTGAAAAAATACAACTGGCATTTTCAAATTCATTAGCTGGTTCTGATTACCCCTTTCCTAAACAGCGCGCCTATGGTGGAAACACTGAAGTGGTAATTTTGTTTAATAGTCCACTTTAAACCACCGCTGAGTAAGTAGTCTGCTAAAGCTCCTTTTCTCATAAAATGCAACTCTAATTTGGTTAATGCCACCAAGCACAGATAGAAGCAGAAGAAAAATTCGATTTTGTTTCACACTTATGAGCCTGCTAATGAAGCCTTTTATCTTCATGACTTCCTTTATTCTTCTTCCATCTCGGCTAAATTATTTCCTACGATTGGAATTTCACATTTTTTCCTTGTGGTTCATTAGAGAGTGCGAAACCTTTGTTTTAGCTTGAATCAAGTTACATTTTTAAGTCATCTCTATTCCCGTTCATCTTACTCATTACATCTTTTTCACCCAGATTATTACTAATCAATTTGCAGCCATTATTTATTCTCACCTTTTTCCCTATACGTGCACCATATTTTTATCTCTGTTTTTTTGTAAATTTAATAGCGGGAGGTTCAAGTATTTCCGATCTCTGTCTTAGGTATCTTGTTTAAGTTGTCCAACTTCATGGACTCGTGAAAGCACTCCCTTCTAATTATGGCCTAAAGACGCTCAAGATTTTGATTTCAAACTAGGAATTACAAAAATGTCCCCATTATTAGATCATGTGGCCTGGAATTAGAAGATTCTCACTTTCACATACCTACTACAACTTTTCTCGTTAGTTTGAACTATTACGTAGTGCCTTCCAGGTCACTTGCCAGTATTGAATTCAAGTGGGGGGGGGGGGGAATTTTTTTCCCCACTTTCTTCAAGTTCTCTTCTAGTCAAAAATACTGCTGTTGGCGCACGGCTCTGGTATTTGTACCTGCTTGCAAACACACACACACACACACGTACGCACCCAAGCGCGTTGGGTTTTGGCAAACACACACACACAATCACAAGTACAGAGCGGATCGGATCGGATCGGAGTGTCATGCCAAAATGTAAATGAGGGGTGGTACTGGGCGGGAGAAATCACGAACACCTGACTCTAGCTAGCTCTATATGGAATGCCCTTTGGCTAAATTACCTTTCCATCTCGCGTCACGAACTTGGATATCAGATCTCCCTCTCGTGGTTTTCTGCGTTAGTATGCGAGGTGTGCTGCCTGTATGGGACACACATCGCACTTCAAATCGCAAACATTGCTGCCTTGCTTCTATTTTGTCTTTCGTTAATACTGTTGTTATTATCTCCTCCTCGCTGGCATACGTGTAGGTGCGCGGGTACATTAGAGAGCCTCCCGATTGGTTGGCGTGCGTCCAGTACTTGGGGCATGGCATATATGTCATGTGAATGCTTCCTCTTTTGGGTATCGAAAGCAGCGGTATAATTGCGCCAAGGTTTCTGATTTTTGTTTACTTTCATGGCATTTAATATATAAAGGGGAGCATTGGTTTTGAATCTGCTTCTCTTTCTGATTAATTTTGAGCCTTCGCTCAAGTGGTTACAAATTTACCTTTTCTCTGTTTCTGATGGAAACAACTTATCAGTAGCCATTGGTGGTATTTTGAGTGGTTTCAAAGTACTCCATATTTTAACTATTTTAGTCTCACCCATTACATTGATGGTCCCCACTAATAAGTCACTCATTGTATTTCCACAGATGCATCTTTTGTCGACGTTGATATTGAGTTGATTTGATCAACATGAATGTTTACTTCTAACCCATTTGCTTAAAAGGCCTTATTGAATGTACGATTTGGCTGAGTGTGTATTTGCAGCCTTAAATGTGGAACAATTTTGTACTGGAAAGTGGAAAAGTGGATTTCGTTTGGTGAAGACGTTGATGTAGCTCGAACTGTGAATTTTCCTCCTTCCATGGCCTGTATTGTTCAGACTGGAGCTTAGTTTTAGTAGTGATTGAGTGATATATTTGAAATATTTATTCAATTCAAATGGCAGTCTTTATGATAGTTTTCATTAGCCCTTTAGCTGACTTCGGGCTTCATCGAGGGGAGGAGAAATAGAAGAGTGATTCACAGATGCAAAGGAGACAGGCAGACACAAATCCAGAGAAAAGGTAAGACGGATACTGTGGAAGTTGTCGGATGTGACATACAGTGGGGTTTAAAGTCAGAAGTCAACTGCCGGTTAATAAACTTTTTTGCCATATGAGTATACGTTGGCCAGGTAGCACCACGTGGAGGTAAGTCGATCGCACATCCCATATTTGAAATATAGGTGTCGAGTCTCAAGAGCAAAAGTTTAAATTTTGTAATTTCAAAATATCAGTTCAATTTAGTCTGGAAGCTCGAAATTGGCCGATCAAAAAATATCGGGCGATCACATCTTTAGAGTTACGGGAGGCTTCTTTTATTTGATCTGATTAGATCCACGACTAGGTCAACGCGACTTATCTTTACCCACTCTTTGCAATAACCAGCCATTCAATTGCTTTCATTGGCATAAAGTGAGCTTCTCAATCATGTTTTCTTTCAATACCTATATTGTTAACCTCGCTTGGGAACCAATAATCTCTCCCCTATTCGTAATTTTCCTATGAATGTTTTATGGGGGGATACTCTGATAAAGTGATGTCACAATTACTTAAGGGAATATTCCAGAGCCTGTGAATTTACGGCAGGACTGACGACTGTGTATTGCGTTCCTTTCTAAAATTGGATTTTTTTCTCAAGCATGATATGAGTGCATATTTGGAGTATTTATTCTTTTTTCAAGATACACCCAACCACGCTGTGAGTACCATGTCATCATACTGTTGCTGCAGCTATACAAGGTCGTTGTCATTAGTTTGATCACTTTGTTAACATTAAACCCAGCAATACCTCAATTCGCTTTGTCAAATTAACTGTGTTAGATGAGGCACTTGTTTGCGAAAATGCCAATAAATTTCTTGAAGCCGGTAATATCAATAACTTACAAAACTATCCTTCTAAGCTCTAGTTCCTCTCTTCTATTGTTTTTCTCAAGTTTAAAAGTTAATAGATGATGATCGCAATTTTCTGTTTCTTCATTAAGCTGAAGTATTTGGACAATTTAAAGGAGGAGGGGGGGGGGAGGGGGAAAGGGTGAGAAGTACTTTTCGAGGGAATTTGACTTTCTGTGGGAGTGAATCCTCTTCCTCCTCCCCCTCCTCGGGTGATTAAATCAAAAAGCACATGTTTGTGCAGGCTCACTTCTTTGTACATTTTGGTGTTGCAAAAAGTAACCCTCCTTCTCCACTTGTTCATGCATTCGCACTTTAATGGAAGTTCCATGTTAGGCGAATTTCACCCCCCACCTCCCCCACCCCACCCTAGAGAAGACAAGATTTTAAACTTCTACGAAGAAATTCGCCGCTTTTTTGAAGGAAGACAAAAGTTAACCCCTTCAATCAATATCATAAATATGGCCAAGCTAAGAAAGGCTCTGTTTTTTTTGAACAAATATTCGTAATGCTGTTATTGCAATGAATTTTACAATTACTAATTAATAGTAGGCGCAAAAGAGCATCAAACCCCATCAGTAAAACTACTTTAGGCACCTCAACTAAGGTATTCAACTTCAAAACAGCTATTAATCTTTCTAGAGACTATGGAAATACGTCAGCCATTTTCCAATCAGGTAACTAAGCGTTGAATAGTAAGTGAGGGTATGTTAGATCACCACGAGGAATTGTTTATGGGAGTTACACAGAAGAGGAAACGCAAGGCTGGAATAAAGTGGTCAAATTACGATGAGTGGAATTGGAGTGTTTTGTGACCTTTGTTAGTCTGATAAGCAGCCAATAGCAAGCTTACAGTGCAGACATGTGCCAACATGTTCGTATTCTAATTAAAATTTAACTAATATTTAGAAACGTCCATAAGTCAATTCGCTACTAATGGTAAATGAAAATATATCCAAAGGAGGGTACTTTTAAGTTTAATTTGAGTTCATCAATTGGAATAACGGTACTTTATTTTCCGAAAGCAGAAGTATATTTTTGTGCCAAAGCCTATTTTAAGAACCATCTAATATTCACATGAAAATGTAGAACAGATGATCTAGAAAACTGCATGTTAGAGAAGAGTGGGATTGTTTAAATGCGTCATCGTATTCCTATCCGTTCTAGCATTTGCGAATGACCCTGACTCCTGATGGTCAATGTCAAGTGCAGCACCTTCCCTTCGCTTCCATCTGCGAAATGTTGGAACACTTTCATCAGGAGCCCATTCCTTTGGAACATCCCCCAACTGTCACGGGTCAGTCGTCACAACCACCCCTCCCTCCTCATTCTGGTGATTCAATTGGTAAGCCTCAACAGGTTATCGATACAAGCCCTCCCCCTCCCGTGACCCTCTCTGCTTATGTCGTTAACACTCGTCGGGCAGCTGGTCGAATTTGCGGTCCTGGTGGCGTGAACCCCTCACAATGGCCACGTCTGGTTCTCTGTCGGGGTTCTGTGCGAGCTAGTATCAATACTGTCTGCTCTGATGTTGCCTCTGTGGCGGCTAGTGTCGCTACACGAGCCGTGCAGAACCAGTACATTCTTATGTGACGCATCCATGTATATAGTCATTATAAAACACCTCTTGTTACTTATTTACAATCAGTAATATTCATATTTCCCTGTGTGAAAGCGCCACTAAAGCCTCTAACCTAACTAAACCAGTGAATGACAATCTTTTCCCCATCTCCTGACCCTTCGAGCTGGAATTTTAGGTACAACGAAATGTCCTCCTATACCACCCTGTGCCCCACTCCCTTGTCTCTCTGTCCCGTCATTGTGCAATATCCTCGACTTGCCTACGGTTTCCCTCTTAAAGATTTCTTGCGTTTCTGAACTCTATCTGTCCATAGATCATGAATCAAGTCAAGCTGGGAAAGAAATGTGTTTTTGCATACCCCCATAAAACGAGGAGAATAGCTTGAAAGATTAAAATTTCGCAGAAGGGATCGCAAGGAGTGTGGGATGATTTTGAAGCCTTATATACAAGAAAGGCTCAAAGGAATTTGGGAGACTAGGTAAAATGCACAGCAAAATAGTGCAGATTATATCTATGAAAGACTAGAAGAAATGCAAACTTGCCAATTTTTATATGAAACTGCAGAGGCTGGAATGTCATTGTTACTGCCATGTGCAAACTGCTAGACAATGCGGATAGGGACATTTTAACTAAATTTGCAAAATGACTTCCACATGCGTCGATGGTGCAGTGGTCAATATGATAAGTTAATCGATTAGGAGTTGCATAGGTTAGATGGTCTTCGCAACACATATCTTGAGTCAGGTAGACTTCGACCGAAATTGATAAATGCAGATTCTACCCTGAGAAGCTACAAGACGGCACCGAAAAACGACGATGATCGTTGTAATTATGTGCGAGTATTTCGTATATGTACTTTATACAACCCTTAAAGTAACTGATATCAAGTAATTTCTCTTAGAAGAAAACAGTAACACACTTTAAACGAGTAAGGATAAAAGCTAAATTATCAAGTTTGATAGAATAGAAACGCCAAGATATCAAAGCGTAAGACTATTGGGTGAAAAAATCACAACCTTTAATAATTCAAAGGTCTCAAAGTAAATATTATGGATAACATTAACCAAACACTTCATGTGATTTACAAATACCGTGACAAGAAAGAATAAGTGAAGCTCAAGTAAACCCGAAATAAGTATTTGAACCAATGAATAGATGAACGTTAAACCATGCGGAAATAGGCAAATGCTAGTGACCACACACAGTACAGAAAATTTCGAAAATGAAAACGATCGAACATGATTATATTATAGAAACTTATGTACAGACGAATATAAAAAGCAGCTATTTCATTCCATAGGGACCTTTTCGTCTTCACACTCGCGAATGTATAAAACGTTGTTGCAACGAATCAATACCTCCCCAAGGCTTCCAGTGAAGCAATTATCGATATACTCATCCGTACTGTGAAGCTGAAGGTTCATATAGCGATCAACAGCAACCAAATAGCCCTTGTACTCCATGCCCCATTTCAGTTTTACAATAACAAGCTTTCCAGTGATGCTGCTCAAGAACGGAATCGGGGTCAATGTTTCCATTTTAATATGAACGAGACGAAAATTCCAAACAAGCGCTTCTTTGTAAATTAATCACTCTGATAGATATAATGGCTAGTTTGAACAATAAATTGTTTAAAAATACAGATATATTCAGTTAAAATATTCAACTGATTTTTATTGACCTAAATCAAAATTATTTATTACAAGATTATATTCGGTTTCATTAGGTAATTATAGGAAAACGTTTGTCAAATATCTTTGATATATTGATCAAACTTTGTAGCACAATATAGTAATTGGAACTAAACAATATTTTTGAATCTTAGTTTATAATGTGCTCTAAGTTATCTGGAATTTATTGCGGTCTTAATATGACCAGACATATTAATCGCTATAGCTGTAAAAATTTAGTCGCAGATGTACAAATAAAAAGACATATTATCTTTTTTATTATTTCATGCATTCTGGATATGGCAACTAAATGAATACGAAAAATTGATGTAGTCCTATCATTACAAAACACGTTTTTCTAGGATTTTTAATGCTAATTACTTAAGGTTCTGTATGATTATGTTGGTAATTCGAACAATAGTTTGGGAGGTATTTGGAATATAATGAATGGGTTACATTTAGTTAATAGTTTAGCGACAACAAAAGTTATCAAATTTGGTATGCATATTCACAAACTGGGTAGAATTAAATGCAAATTATATTGATTTCTCGACCATTATTACTAAAGTTTTAGCATATCAATGAATATTTGTCTTAAGGTAAAATATCTATTTTAGTTTCTTAAATTATTTTTTCCTATGACAATAGCTAAATTTTCAACGTCTGTTGATTTTAAGTGAAACACCTTTAAGGATGCTAAATTTCAAAGATTCGCTATGGATCAACTCCAAATTAAAGTATATATTTATTTCAAATGGTATTTGTTTCGATAGGTACCACTGGCCCTTTTGCTGACTTCGGACTTCACAGAGACGAGGAGGAATAACAAAGCAACAGAAAGTCGAGGGAGACAGACAGTCACAAAGGCAGAGAAAAGGCAAGACGAGTACTGAAGTGGTCGAATTGGCATACAGTGGAGTCAGGTAGTTTGAAGTCAGAAGTCAACTGCCAGTAAATAGACTTTTATGCAGTGTGTGGAGGTTAGTCTATCGAACACCCCAGATTAAGCCATATAACTTGACGAAAAATCTATCTGTTGTTGCTTGTGGAATTGAATATATTGATTTGTAAATTAGAACTCTTTGTTTTACATACAGTATAATCGAATAATTAACTCCTTAACTCAGTATTTATGTTACTATACTTCGGGTTCTACTTCAAATGTGCCCATTTAATTGTGTAATTTTAAACCATTGAGATGGGGTGCGCGATAGACTTACCTCCACGTGGTGCACCCTGGACAACGCATCTTTGTACGGAAAAAAAGTCTATTACTCGGCATTTTATTTGACTTTGATTTATTATGATTAGCTGGAAAAAAGGCTATAAAAGAAATCGCCCTCGTCAGGGCGAATCACAACGTCTTCAGATCCTCCAGTGGAATGCTGGAGGAATGTCACCGGATAAAAAGATCCAAGTCCAGAAAATCCTACAAACCTATGATGTAGATATTTTCACAATTATGGAAGCAAACATTTCGGATGACAAACTGAAGTACTACCAATTCCCAGGTTACACCCTGTACCTTCTACCTAAATACCGACAAGTTGCAAGTGGAATTCTAACTGGAGTAAAAGATGGCCTCACCTCACACTACGATCTAATCAAGAGTATGGGCTCGACACAAGGCAAATGTGAAATAATCAGATTAAATGTTTGGAAATGTCAAAACCACTTCAAGGTATATGCAGTCCATAATCCACCCCGGAATTGTCCCAACTTTGACTTTCTGAATATCTCACACAAAACTGCAGTATGAGGAGACTTCAACGCCCATTCCCCCACCAGATGGGGCTACAAGGATACAAACATAGCTGGAAAGGAAATTGAAGAAATGCTAAACAGCAACCCTCTGGAACTTATTTACAGCAATGAGGATCCGGCTACATATTTGCACCACAATTGAACCAGAACAACTCCTGACTTACTCCTGGCTTCAAGCGACATCAGTGAGCATACACGCCGCAAAATAATTGACGATCCTGGTTCTGGTCNTCCTGGGTAACCTCCAAAACAACATAGAAAGACCCAAGAAAGAACCAATACGCTTAAACTGCAAATTGCTTACCACCGACACCGAAATAGCTAACTGCTTTGCGAGGTTCTATTCCCACAAGCAAAAGAAAAACCCTTTTGTCAGAAAATCTTCAAGAGATTTAAAGATACAAGTAAGACAGTTGGTGAAATTAAGGAAGACATAGCAACACCAAATAATGTACTTACTAAACCATTCAGACCTTGCGAACTTAATGCTGCGATAAAACAGCTAGTGTAAAAAGTCTCCTGGCGAAGACGGTATTCATCCGGAATTTCTAACTAGAATGGAACCAACAGCCAAGGAAACCACGCTGACGCTTTTCAACAAAATTTGGGAGACCAGTCTCGTACCTAACCAATGGAAAGTTGCCATAGTAATACCAGTACTAAAAAAGGGCAAAGACCCAAGCAACTTTGACAACTATAGGCCTATCTCCCTCAGGAAATCAAACACCCCTCCAGAACAAATGCGCTCATTGGCCCTTGAGACAATCAATGTCAACTATCCTGCAGATCAATGGCTCCAAGTCTTCACTGATGGGTCATACATAGAAAAGCAAGCAAACGTTGGTGCAGGTGTCTTTTCTGAACTCTTCTCTTTCTACGCAGCAGCGGGGCACAATAGATCCGCTTTCGAAGGAGAAATAGAGGCCATTAGGATAGCACTATGCCAATTATGTTGCCTGGATACGAAATTCACCAAAGCGGTGATACTTTCGGACTCACAGTCAGCAATAAACTCAATTGGAAACAGAGAGCCTCCCAAAACGTTTGAGATAAAGGAATGTAGAAAACTCTATGAGCTGCTGAGAGAGAAAAACAAAACAGGGGTCCTGCAATGGATTCCTGGTCACTGTGGCATTAAAGGCAATGAGCTTGCTGACACACTTGCTAAGAAGGGTACAACGATTTTGCAATGCATGGACAGGCCGATGTCTTTCCACACAATGAAGGCCTTAATCAGAAGAGAATTCCAGACCTCAATGTGCAACGAACTTAAAGCTCGAACAAAGGAGAAACAGTGGACAGTGGCATTCTCCGACATACCCGACTGGCCAAGAATCGAAGCCGTTGCTGAGTTCAGACTATTTACCGGACACAATTGGTTGGCAAAACTTCTTCACAGATTGGGAATATACACTCAACCCACATGCCCTCTATGTAACCCACAGGAGGAAATGGAGAAGACCCACCTGATTCTCTACAGGAGAAAATGGAGAAGACCCACCTGATTCGGTGTTCACACAGGAGCAGACCCACCTGATTCGGTGTCCAGCTCTAAAGACAAGGACAGACACCTGATTCGGTGTCCAGCCCTAAAGACAACGACGGAAAGCCAGACATACTGGGAAGCAAGAAGACGGCTAATGAACAGCTATTAATTAACTGCTATAATTGTACCCTCCACCCTTGGGGGAAGCTGAAGTTAAAGTTTAAGGGCTAATGATAAATATCATAAAGCCTGCCATTTGAATTAAATAAATAAAGTTCAAAAGTACTGTCTTTGTACTTCTATTTGCGTTTCAATTCCCATGCAGTGAGGCTTTACACTTTTCAATCGTGAATCAGTATTTTTTGTTTGTTTCAGTTATGATTGGCAGATCAGGCAAAAGAATTTCTTGGCCTTTAAACGTTTTTTTTTCAAAACCATGACACTATGTAAACCTCTTTTACAATTTTCTTTGAAATCTGTTGACTCACAAGCATGGGAACCAGTGGAACTTTTCATGTAAGCCCAAAGGCAGAGTTTTCTCAGTTGAGTCATGGCCTTAAGATCTCCTAAAGAAATCCAATTAAATATCTCCCCACATTTCATAGTGCCAGATGAGTATGGTTTCAAGATGAGCCTTCTCACAACTTTAAGGTCATCTAACTTTCCTTATTCAATTGCCTTTTGTTAATCGCATTTAACTATTTTCTGCTGATGAATAATAGCAAAAACTGTTGAGGCCACGAGGTCACTCAGGGCATGACAGTTAATTATAGGTTTGTATCCTAGATACAACGAATAATTAGTCATAGTTTTCGATCATTGAAGTTGACCTTAAATGCCTGAGAGACAGACTTTGAAATTTGTGTTGATAATTGCAGTTGCTAAGGCAAATTTTATAATGATCATTTTGTAATACTAAACTACTACTATTTATTTGAGGGTAACATTAAATCTTTACAAGCTTAAGTTTTATCAATTTCCTATTTTGGCGCATCATTAGATTCAAATAGGGGTATAGTTTTGAGAAATGGAGGTATGGGGGAGGGGAAGGGTGGTGGGAGAAAGTTCCGGTCCGTGAAAATTGGCATGAAGGTCTTATCGATCGAAGGATAGCATTTTTTTCTGTTCAACGGCAACTGGCAATTTCAGACTTCATTGTTTTAGGTCAAAATTCTTTCAGGATGGGAGTTACATCTTTTTGAAAATGGAAGGTAACATTTTTGTTATTTTAACCATGGCATAAAATTAAATAATTTGCCTTAGGTAAAAATTTCTTCGACATTTTTTATGCTTAATAATTCTTAGTGCTAGACAACTAAGGGGTAGTTTTTATAGCACCCTAAAGACCTAGCCTTTTTGTTGGTGAGTTGAAGTTTGGTTTCACAGATTAGTTCACTGTATTAGACCTTCACGCCTTATAACTCTTTCAGAACACGATTATAAGACTTATCTTAAGGGGAGTGCTTAGAAGAATCTTGTATAGTCATTCACAGTACTGTCATGAAAAACCATATATGAAATGACCTTTATGACCTCATTATGAATACTCGCTTTGTGTAACCATGCCATGAGTTTGCAGTTAAATATATTTGTTGAATCTGATTGTTTTGTTGGTACCTATTGGCCAAAGTATTTCTCTTGGGGAGGGGAGCACGATAGACTTACTTCCATGTGATGCACCCTGGGAAATGTATACTCATGCGGGAAAAAGGTGTATAACTGGCAGTTGACTTCTGACTACAAACTACCACCTTACCCTTTTCTCTACCTTTGTGTCTGAGTCTCTTTTACATCTGTGAATCATTCTTCTTTCCCCCCCCCCCCTCCACTTTTCTCACTTTGATGTCCGTCCCTTCTGTAAAGCTCGAAGTCAGCTAAAGGAAAAATTCTAACTGTCAAAAAGTCTGCCATTTAATAAAATTAATTTCTCCTGGCGAAGCAAAATAAGTTCTAATTTTTATTAGGGATAGTGAAATGATGTTGAGAACACTGCAAGCTTTCGATATATATCCTTTTTATTAAATCCGCGCATTTTACTCCTCCGTGATTTAACGTTATCAACTTTGCACACCAGACTAATTAATCATTTCGTGTGGTCCGTTATGATGTCATAATCGATTTATCTCTTACTTTAGAAGAATACTGTGCTCAATCCCTTGTCACCAGCATTAATTAGCCTAGAGACTGTGAATGCACAATTTTCTCCAAAAAATAAATTGTCTCAGTGAATGACTGAAGTGATAGTACTATTAACCTGTGAGTAGTGGGGCGAAGAATTATTCAATAGGAGTGCAATTAAGGATAGCCAATTATGAAGCTTGGCATAAGAATCTACTTTCACAAACACATATTGAAGTAGTTTAAAAGTACATTTTCAATTAATTTTGATTAAATTTTCTTATAGCAAAAAGGATTTCATCATCAGCACCATCTCCTTATAGCATTTTTTTAAAATTATCATCAGTGAATTCGAGTAAATTTATTAGCACCTCTTCAATTGGAAAGATCATGATTTCTAAAAGCCCTCTTTTTAACCAGAATTAAGCTATACAGTCTGCACCCACTTCAATACATCAATAACGGTATTGTCAGAGTATGCGGGTGAATGGTTTCAAATTCCCACTCTATTCCAACCACTGGACGTGCATAAATAAATATCGATTCTTTGAACAGCCATGATGACTAAGTCACCTATATCCCATCCAAATGTTTTAGTTTATTGAGCAGAATAAGCTGAAATGAAGCCCCCTCAATAGAAATAGCTTACGTGTTTCAAATCGGAAAAGTTAGATTAAACATTTTTTCAACTTTTTAAGTTTGCACTTAACAACTAAATTTTCCTTTTCAAAAAATCACCTCCACTCACAAAAAGGCCTCACAACTCTAATTAGAGAGTCGTCATGGCTTCAAGGACACTGCACACCTTTTCTGCCATTTTTTTGTCCGTAAGCAGTGGCGAATTGTTTAGGGGAATTGAATACAGACAGGGTGAGAGTGTTATTGGAAGCCATTCTAACTATCCATCTTAGGCACATTTCATTTTAAAAGTAGTGAAAAGGACATCTGATGTTTTCTCCTCCCCAATTAATATCGACCTTATTGAGAAAGAAGAAAAAGGCTGTTAACATTTTCTGAATGGATTATCCACGAATAACTCCTAATTTTTACTTCATCTTATTAATGGCCAAAGATCTCAAAATCAGAGAACACCATTGCGAATTGGGAAATTGAAAAGACCAGCTACAGCACTGTAATTAATGTCACTCTTAGGGTATGACCAGCCACTAAGTGGAAAATGATCATTCCCTAACTTTGAGATGTAGGTCCGCACAACTTGATACTTATAGAACTTTAAGGTAAGTTTAACGTTAGCAGTATCCAATTAACTATATGAAGTAGAATCAGTAGAAATGGAGGAAAATTGACAACAAAAAAACTTTTGACGGTGTCGATGCCGCCACAGAGTCAATAAAAGACATTTTTCACTAAATCTAGTCTGTTTCCTCTATTATATTAAAGTCCCAACCTTCGATCTTTGCAACTCCTTCGTTATAAATTTGCAAGGGAATAAATCTAAATTAAATCTAATTGGGTCAAAATTTGAATTAAAATTAACTTAATACGAACATAGTAAAAGAAAAATGACAAAAATTCTTTAAATTTGAATTTCTTTGGCATGAACATATTTCACTGAAACTTGACATTTATAATCATTCTGTATATTAACGAAGAAGGCCAACTGATCATCTATATGGCGAAATATTCGATTGTGAGTTTATCTATTGATCATTATCCATATGCTCAAGCTCTGTGAAGTCAATTTTACTGCTTTCGTTGTTTAGTTTGAAATTGTGAGGCAGTGGGAATTAAATTCATTTAAAAGTATAAAGCATTGTTACCAGTCAGTGACCAATGTATTTCTCTTCGTTATTTAATTTATTTAAAAAATATTAGCGGTGCTAAGACAGTGCAAGCGGCTATCTAGAACTCATTACTGATTGGTCAATCACAGTCATCTAACTTTGTGTTTGAACGGCGGGCGCATTAATTGGCTAATTACAAACCCATCACCAATTTGATTGGTTGCCATAATGCGCTGTGGTTAATGCTGCTATTAAATATCGTGGCTTAATTGTTTCGGCATATATGAGACGTGAAGAAATTCATTGAGCGGTTTTGAATAAAGATGTCCGATGTAAGTTCTACTGTTTCCTTTATAGTAATCAAATTTTCCATTTATAAGTTGACATATTTTTTTTATTTAAACCAGCTATAACAATACAGTTACATATTAATAAAATGTCATTTAAAGGACAACTATAAATAAAGAATTCTTGCTATTTAATTTCATCCACATCATGATTTAATTTAACAAACCTATAAATCCTCTATTTATCCCTTTTTAAATTTATATGAAATTTCTTGAAGGTCCAAAATCTTAGAAATTTATCGAAGTTAAGGTCAGTGTCTGGTTTTAAGTTGCTATGTCATTTGGAATTCCTTATTCTAGTTTAGTAACCTAGACAGGAGAGTTAACCTCAGATTTAATTTTGCCTGTTTTTGGACCACGTTTATTCACTATATTTTAGAATTTTTTTTACTTTTGAAGAAAATTCCTTTAATTTCAATGTTGTTAACTACAGGGAAAGGTGGAATGGTCTAAATATAAGTATACTTCACACCTCCCCAATGTTGAATATCGTTTTCACGACAATTCCCCCTGTTGTCACGTTATTAATCCCCACCCCTCAAATTGAAGGAGGCACATGCATACCCGGACACTGGGTATAATTTTCCCTCCAAGCCAATAATTATTTTTCCCCTCATTATTATTCACTGCAATTCAAATCAACGAGTGCCACTTCATTAACTTAAACACATACTATTAGATGCTAGAATTATTGGCCACTGTGCTTGCGGACTGCCCCTGTTTTGGAAGAAGGGAATTTAAAAAGAGATACGGGTAATTACCACTGCCAGACCTGGAGGAAGGCGGGGTGGGGGTGGGGGTGGGGGTGGGGGTGATATATGCTCATTAATACTCACTTTCAGGATGACAAGGTGAAAAGGGGTGGGGTTAGGATGAGAAGAGGTCCATATGTCCTCCATATCATATGGTATTCCCCCCCCCCCCGCCCTCCCACCCATTTTTACACCCCTTTCATTCATTAAATGCCTGTAATACCGACAGGTGTACTACCATTCCATCCTTTTCACAGACGCGTAAGTTGAATTTAACCAGATGTTCATTTTACTCCATTTATCCAGAATGCTTTAGCCAAAGCGGCTAAAGCTACTTATTGGGAAAACATAAGGAAAATTTTTCTCCTGTGGCAATTTGCACTCACCTTAGCAACATAAATTATGCAATATTTTATCACTACCCAGTCCCCCCAATTATTGCTATCAGTAACCAATAATTAAATTTTTGCTTTTATTGAACACTATAATTAAAACACCCAACTAGCAATTGTTGACCTTATTTGCACGCTGCTTCTGACCTATTAACAATTAGTTGGTGTTGATAATTATAGACTACCTTTTTCGCCTTTTAGCAGAATTCACCTCAAAATCTCTCCTCCAATTCTCTGACTATGTTGGAGGCCCATTGTAATAGTATAGGCTATCAGAGTGATGAGAATGGAATCCCATTGGGCAGTGTTCACCCCCACATGCCTCTTTCCCCATCACCCCCTACTGCCATACCTGAAGGAAACCCTCAATCATCTCAATCATTCTATCGATTTCTTCCAGCACAATACGAACACTTACCACCTCACCTACCACCAACCCATCAAGCTCATCCAGCACACCAAGTCTCGAGTATAGGGCCAACACATGAACTCACTCCGACCCCCCCTGCTCTACCCCAGTATAACCAACGAACAAATGAAGTACATCCAGGATATCCATATGAGAATCTTCAATCGAGATACCGTCCATTGATGGAACCAAGCTGGATGACCAATTTCATGACCCCATTCACCAACTACAATCAGGACCTTCCAAACCAGCTTAACCATTCCAATTACTTATTTGCAGCAGAGGTTGCCAAGCAATACGAGCAGAATCCCTTAACTCCCGTTGCTTCGAAACCAACAGTATCTGCGAGTAGACGCTATGCAGGTACCCGAGGTAATTGCGACTGCCCTGATTGTCAACAAATCGACAGAATTGCTTCATCGAATCCTGAAATGGCTGCAGAGATGAGAAAAAACAGCACTACACACAGTTGTCATGTCCCCGGATGTGGTAAGGTCTACACGAAGACGAGTCACTTGAAGGCCCATTTAAGGTGGCATACGGGAGAACGGCCCTTTGTCTGCAATTGGCAGCTCTGTGGAAGACGTTTCCTCCGTTCTGATGAGCTTCAAAAGCATCTGAAGACCCATGAAAATGATACAGATAATGAGTGCCCTGTTTGTCAGAAGAAATTCCAGAGATGCGACTACCTGACACGGCATATGTCAACGCACAGTGTGGAAGAGATTCAAAAGAAAATGGAAGGAGCCGATAGCAAGGTTAAGTTGGAGGAAACTGAAGCTGAAGAGAAGAGCGCTGAGGAAAGGAATGCGCAGTAACGTGGCCTTTTTTATTCTCATCATTACACTTCTTTCCTGAAAACACCTAACATTTATAGAATCCGTGTTATTTATATATTTCGTTCCCTACACATTCATATATACATATATATGTACTAAACCGTGATAGACGGTTATTTGTTTTATGAAGATGCCGTTTTATATTCAATTATAATATATATTGCATCAAAGTCCCGTCTATTTCCCATTCTCGAGGTTAGCATTGAAGTGGGTCTTATATTCGGGGGAGGGGAGGGATGTATATTAGCGGAATTGATACATATTACTAATAATTCAAAACCAGCATTTTCAGTGCAAAGAATTTGGAAACTAGCTTTAGATAAGATTGGCAATCAAATTAAACAAAATATTTATATCAAGTGACAGGCGTTTTGATATTTATCATTGGCCCTTTAGTTGACTTCAG